TGTCTACCTGTTTTGACTTGGGGACGCCCAGAGTCTCCCTAATATGGGGCAGGGACAGAGTACGGCAGGCAGGGCAAGGTGTACACCCTTGGAATGCATTCTGGTGAACTGGAAAGTGTTTGGATCGGATCCGTTGATTAAAAGTAAACTGAAAAGATTCTGTACAGTAGACTGGCCTCAATATCAGCTAGAGGACCAGGAAAGGTGGCCACCGGAGGGATCACTCAATTATAATACGATCCTTCAATTGCTTTTGTTTTGTCAGCGTACGGGTAAATGGAATGAACATATGTATGTACAGTTGTTTATGTTGTTAAGAGATAGGTCAGATCTTTTGCAAAGGTGTAATTTGACTCCGTCAGGTTCGGTAGTAACTACAGTTAGTCCCCAGAACCCTCCTCCGGTTGTGATGGCAGAGTCGGTGTCCCCTTCGGCTCCAACACCCCCACCATATAAAGACAGGGTCTCTCAGGTCCCAGAGATTGCCCCCTCGGTGGGATTCTATCCATTACTTACTGAGACTCGGATAGCCCGCCCTGGATCAGACAATCGCCCGGCCACTACTATGCAGGTTTACACCCATGTGCCTTTTAACGCAGTGGACCTGGCAGCTTTTAAGGCACAGGCAGGGGAATTCTCTACGAACCCAAGCAAGTTTATCTCAGCCTTTGAAGGGTGTCTGGCTAGCTGTAAACCTGACTGGGATGATTGTAATGTCCTTATGAGAACCCTGTTGTCTGAAGTGGAGCGGAATCAGGTTACAGCTAAGGCTAAGGAGAAGGAAGACAGAGAAGGCATTTAAGGTTTAAAAGGGAAAGCTATTGGACACCAGAGGTTGTACAGAGAGGAATCCTCAGAAGTGAGTGTGCTCATCCTGGTTTGTTGCTTCAAAGCTCTGTACAGAAGTTATGTTACTGGAAAAGGTGTATGAGTGAAGAGTGGAAGGTTCTTTTGGAAGTTAGAAGAAGCCGAGAAAGGGAGAAGAGGAAAAAGCACGAAATGAGTTAACTGAGAGGAAAATACAGCTAGCAAGCTCAGTCAGCTGGCCTCAGTCCAAGGTCAGTGTTCACTGCCAAGACTTTGCTGACAACCAAAAGGAAGGGGGGCCTGAATGTGCCCAAGCAACTGAGATCAGCAAAATACTGCAAGGCATAATGAGGACAACAGAAGGGTTAAAAAGCAGCTTTGCTGGACCGTGCTGGCCCAGGGATTTAAAAATTCCCCCACTTAGTTCGGCCAGGCTTTGGCCAGAGACTTGGAGGAGTGGGACAATGAAGACAGGGTCCTCCTCCTGCAATATGTGGATGACTTGTTGATTGCTGCTGTGGGTCTAATCCCTTGTCTTAAAGCCACTGTAAGCCTCCTGAACTTTGTTGGACTCAGAGGATATCGAGTAGCACAGAGTAAGGCTCAGATTGCTCTCCCAGAAGTACGGCATTTAGGATTTTACATCAGGCAGGGGGAACGTCAGCTTTCAAGTGAAAGAAAGGAAGCTATCTGTCAAATTCCTATTCCAAGCAATCATAAACAACTCAGGGCGTTTCTGGGCATGGCAGGCTTCTGCAGAATATGGATCCCAGAGTTTGGACTGTGGGCTAAACCCTTGTATGAATGCGTTAAGGGAGCGGATCATGACCCCTTTCACTGGTCCCCAGAAGCGGACAGGGCATTTAAAATCTTAAAAAGGAAACTAATGGAAGCTCCAGCTCTAAGCCTGCCGGACCTAGTTAAGCCATTCCAACTGTATGTGCATGAACGGAGAGGGGTGGCCCTGGGAGTGCTTACCCAGCTATTAGGTGCCTGGAAGCGTCCTGTGGCGTATTTCTCTAAACAACTGGATCAAGTTTCAAAGGGATGGCCAGCCTGTTTGAGGGCGGTCGCAGCAACTGCCCTAGTGCTTGGGGAGGCTGAGAAATTGACACTGGGAGGAGTTGTGCAAGTGTATACTCCCCATATGGTTCAAGCCTTGCTGGATACTAAGGGTGGTCTCTGGCTTACACAGGCTCGGGTTGCTCGGTATCAAGCAAAACTGTTAGAAAATCCTAAAGTTACCCTACAAACCTGTCCCTCCCTTAACCCAGCCACCCTGTTACCGGAGACAGAGGAGCAGGAACATGACTGTCTGGAAATCATAGATGTCCAATACTCCAGCTGCCCAGACTTAAAAGATCAACCCCTCCCTAATGGTGATTATGAGTGGTATACTGACGGCAGCAGTACAGTTGTAAACGGATAGAGGAGGGCAGGCTATGCTATTGTATCTCTCCATAAGACTGTGGAAGCAGAGGGTTTACCTGCTGGGACATCAGCTCAGCTGGCTGAATTGGTAGCCTTAACCCGTGCACTTGAACTGTCAAAAGGAAAAAAGGTTAACATTTTTACTGATTCCAGATATGCCTTTGGAATACTACACGCCCATGCCGGTCTGTGGAAGGAAAGAGGAATGTTGACAGCCCAAGGTTCTCCGGTTAAACATGGGCCTAAAATTCTCCGGCTTTTAGAAGCGGTACAGCTCCCCTCAGAAGTAGCAGTGATACACTGCAAGGCTCATCAAAGAGAAGATCAAAATGTGGCTAAGGGTAATGCCAGGGCGGACAGAGAGGCCAAGCGAGCTGCTACCCTGGAACCACAGGAAGCTAAAGATGCCCATATGCATGCCCTCATCCCATCAGTGGGGGAGCTCCCGACCCCTCAGTACTCTCACGAAGAAAGGAACCTAGCCAACACACTTAGGCTCTGGGAAAAGGAGGGATGGCTCCACTCCACGGAAGGAAAAATCCTCCTACCAAGGAATCTAATACGGCCAGTACTACAGAAACTACATCAGTCTACCCACGCAGGAAGAGAGGCTCTTTCCCAGCTTATGAATAAATACTTTCTAACCTCTGGACTTAGGCCTCTGGCCTCCCAGGTGCAGGCTGAATGTTTAGTCTGCCAAAAGAACAACCCTCGACCTGGAGTGTCAGTGCCACCAGCCACTCTGGAACCTACCCCAGGCCCAGGACTAGTTTGGCAAATAGATTTTACTGAGTTCCCCCGGACCCAAGGATTCAGATACCTTCTCGTTTTAGTGGATCGATTCAGCGGATGGCCTGAAGCCTTCCCATGTCGTAACAACACTGCCAAAACGGTGGCTCTTAAGTTTGTCAAGGAAATCATTCCTCGCTTTGGACTCCCCCTGTGGATGGAATCTGACAACGGAACACACTTCACATCCCAAGTTGTTCAGAAAATATCGGATGCCCTGCAAATCCCCTGGAAGCTCCACACTCCATGGCGACCGCAGGCCAGTGGGGTAGTGGAACGCACAAATCAGACACTTAAGCGGCACCTCTCAAAGGTCTGCCAAGAGGCTTCCCTTAAGTGGCCTGATGCTCTACCCCTTGTTTTGCTCCGCATTCGCGCTCTCCCAAAGGGCAGGTTAGGGCTCAGTCCCTTCGAGATTATGTTTGGAAGGGCATGGCCTATGAACGGTACACCGGTTCTGGCAGGGGAGTGGGAGGTAGGCTGTGGTTTCTTATCTCAGTACATGTGCTCTCTGTCTGCTGTTCTTTGTTCTCTCCACAGGTACACCAAAGATTTGCAGCCTCTCCCGCTGGATGCCCCGATCCACTCCTTGCAGCCAGGTGACTCCGTACTCGTTCGGACCTGGAAGGACGAGCCTCTCCAAGAGAAGTGGAAGGGACCCCACACCGTCCTGCTGGTCTCCCATACAGCAGCAAAGGTCAAAGGACACAAGAACTGGATTCATCACTCTCGCCTGAAAGCAGTGCCTGCTCCTGAACGGTGGACCGTCCAGCCTGCAGAGAAGACTGCCAGCGACGACCTGGGACTTAAGCTGTTATTCAAAAGACAATAAGGCCTGCTGGGAATGCCCTGTGATCTCTTTGGACAGTCACAGCGCACTCCCCGCGAGAACTCTGAGCGTTGGTTGTGTTTGTTTTCACAGGGCCGGCCTAACCTGGTGGCCTGGTCCCTTTTGCTTTTAGTCTGCCTGCTATTGGTAATTGTTATTTTGTGGGTATTTGGGGAATTGTAATTGTCAGGCCCTAGGGTCACCTGCCCAGCATGAGTCCAGGTCCAGGGTCTGCCACAGTGGTACTCTTTGCCATAGGAACACTCCTCTCGTTTCCTCCTGTTTCCCCCCGACCACATGCGGGATGGGAAGAAATCCCTACTAACTTGGAAACAAACACATATGAGTCCTTGAAGGTTTGCTTTGCCCAAGAATTCAACCTCTCTAACTGCTGGGTATGCTCCCAAGTCCCGGCATACCCTCTCATTGAGGACCCCAGCTTCATAGCACTCAATCATATCTTGTCCACAGAATATGAGAAAACTCAGCCAAAAGCTTGTTGAGTATTCTCAAAGGAGGGAGTTGTTGACGTCACCAGGCATCACCATCACCCCAGGTGACTCAGGAGGGTGGAAAATCACAAGTGTCAATGAAGCCTTCCTGCACTAGGCCTGAACCAAACTCCTTCCATGTTTAAACTCTAATCGACCTCAAAAGCCAGGTGCAAGTGAAATGTCAACATAAACTAACTGCTTAAATGTAATTGCTATTTGCTTAGTAATTGTTACCAGGGATGGGAGGGGTAGAGAGAGAGAGGAATGGGGGGAGGGAAGGGAGGGGTAGCGGGGGAAGGGGGGGGTGAGGCTTGACTGTAAAGGTATAAAGGAAAAAAAACTGTTTCTGTTACTGTGCTTGATTTGAGACGTGCCAGTCTCCTTGCACCGCTTTGAGATCTCAAATAAACTTTGTTTGCTTCTCCACCCCGGTGTGTTTATTGGCGCGAAGCACGCCGGGCAACGAACCCCTCTTGCTTTGCCTCGGGCACCTCTGTGCCAGCAACAAACCCATTGTTTAATAATGATAGTGTGTTTTCTGATTTTGCTTTGTCATGTTGAATTTGCACTTTTGTTCCTCCCTCCCTTATGCCTGCTGCCTGTAACTTGGCTGCAACTCCTCATCCACGCCCTGGAAAAATGCATATAAAATAGAACTTCGTACAGTTGTTTTCTTTTTGAAGCTCTTGCTGGCTCATACAGCAGTGCTGCAAAGTTTCAGCGTTCAGTAAAGAATCGAGGAAATACTGTAAAGAGATGGAGCTTGACAAAGACCACTGTATTAAGATGAACGATGGGAACAAAATTCCTGCACTAGGATTTGGTACCTATTCTCCTGATGAAGTAAGTAAATCTTTCATGGATTTCTTTGTCCTTAACCTGTTGATTAACATTGCTGGGCATTGCTATAACCATTGCCTGTAGCACTTCAGAAAGGGCTGCAAGATGAGATCCCTGTATATTAGTTTATAAAACTATTGACAATGTCTGAAAAGTGCTTTGGGGTTTAGAGTAAAAGATTATACTAGTATATAAATGTAAGAATATCATCGTCTGTAAGAAAAGGTTGTTGGTTTTTATTATTTGAGTGAATGTGGTGTTGATGCACAATTCCATGACCCAGAGCTGCCAAAACACCTGATCTACAGCAGATCTACCACCTAGAGCCCCACATGCGTCTGTCAATCCACCTCTCTTTGACCTCCAGCACCCAGCTACTCTAGTCCAGAGCCACTATCTAACTACCTTTGCACCTTTGCCCTGACATACAGCACTCCCTTTCCCAGCTTTTGGCCCGCATGTCTCTGCCAATGCATTTTGGTCCCAACCTGAGCTTCTTTAAAGAGAAGTTAGTTATTTTTAGCCCTTGTAGTGCTGCTCACTGAATTACACTGAGGGAAGGAAAATGAGTATATTTCCATTTTCTCCCTTCTCAACAGTCCTGCTATCTGCTGATCCCAGTGTGGAGGGGACGGGTCTAGTGGCCAGAGCAGGGGGCTTGGAGTCAGAAGATCTGATTCTGCCTCTGAGTCACTTATGTAACCTTTGGGCATCTTACTTGCCTCTTTGTGTTTTAGTTTCCCCAGTTTTGTAAAATTGTGATCATACCTGAATTACCTCACTGGGTTTAGTTCATAAGGATAAAATTTTCAAAAGCACCTAAATGACATAGAGGCCTATGTCTCAGTGAGTCCTTCCAATCTTTGCACAGTATTAGCCAGACTGATATGATCTCTCTACTCCTCCCAGAAAAGACCACCTCCTAAAATATGACTTTCCTACACACTGCAGTCTGTGTCAACTGCATCCGTTCACTCAGGCCAGTTTCTCAGTTATACTAAGACACCACTCTAAAGTGGGGATAATTTAAGGCTGCATCGCACTGCCAGAGTAGTGTAAAGGGGCCTTTGTGTAATGAGAATCACACATGCCTCAACAGAGATTTGTCCTCTAGGAAGCATGGCTGTTGTCAGATATTTTTCAATTATTAATCTTAATAGAGTCAAGATGTAACTAGATGGAAGAAAGCTGAGTCATTACCCAAGAAGCAACAAGGGTTCATGAAATCATAGTTCTCACCAAACAGTTTTAATAGCTGCTTTTGTTACAACTACTCATGAAAGGAATGCAGTCCTGCCAAACTCAAGAATTCAAAACCATAATTCAGTTTTGACAAAATCATGAGTTTGGCGTATAAATCATAAGATTTTTTTAAAAATAAATAGGTTGTAGCTCAGGTCAGCTAGACTGGGGGTTTTAATCCACAGTGTATGTTGATATCTGGTTCTTACAGCTCCTCACTCCTGGTCTCAGGGTCCAGTACTGATTGATCTTTAAATCTTGTAAAAAGAAAGCTGAAATAATGGGCCTGATATGCTGTTGCTCTGCATTTCAAGGAGTTATTTACTTCTGTGCACAGTGGGAGTAAAAAACCTATGTCATGTCTGAATAGTAGCTTTTTACACCTACATTCCATTTACTTTGCTGTGGTGTAGATGATGACACAAGATGCTGGGCAACAGAGGATCAGGCCCAGAATCTTTGAATTTCCTTTAAGGTAAATTCAAAGATTCTAAATGTGAAGGTATCAGAATCTTAAAAACTCCACATCAGGTCTTTCTGATGGTGATCAAAGCTCTAGGTGACTGGCATACCATATCCCTAATCCAGAGAGATTGACACTACACCTTCTTAACCGGTAGGTTCAAAAAAGTAAATGTGAGGAGGCTACAAAGGTGGCTATTGAAGTTGGCTTCCGCCATATTGATGGAGCCTTTATATATGGGACTGAGGAGGAGGTTGGGCGAGCCATTCACGAGAAGATTGCAGACAGAACAGTCAAAAGAGAGGACATATTTTACACAGGAAAGGTAAGTGGGTTTTGTTTTAACATCGGTATTTTTATCGTACTGCTTCCTGAGCTAATTATTTTGTCTAATTTATGAAGAATGTTGTCAATGTCAAGGACAATTTTAAAAAGATTGCATTTAGGGGAGTATTATTCACAGAATTGGGAAACTGCATTCTATAACAAGTTACAGGTTTGAGCACAAGGCTCATCTCTACCTGTGTGAAAGCAAAGCTAAAACGGCTACTTCATTCAGGGCCGACTCCTGAAGTCAGACAACAGAGTGACTCCCAATAACCCAGGACAACAAATTTAGCCCAAAAGATTTTAACCTTGAGAGTGGCCTCACATAGAGTTCCTGTACGGACCACTTCTGACATCCTGGCTGCATTTCAGCCGCTCGCCCTGCTTCTTCAGGAAACATTCACTTCTTACTCTCATGTGCATCTTTGCACACAACCACCTCACAACACAACCCTTCTGTTAAAAAGGTAAAGCCAGCGGTATGACACAACTAAGACATTTTAGAAAAGTGGTTTTTACAGAAAGAAGAGACAAGAGAGGACTTTTTCAGAAAGAACAGTTGTGTTTGAATCATTACAGCTTTGGAGTACCTTTCACCGTCCTGAACTTGTCCGAAGCTGCCTGGAACAATCACTGAAGAAACTTAAGTTTGACTATCTTGATCTCTTCATTATCCACAACCCCATGTCTCTAAAGGTAAACATTTCTTTAAAAAATATACACAGGAAAACAAATGTTTGGTAGTATATCCATGGGCCAGAGCAGAGCTGTTCTGAAAAAGACCCGTAGTCCATCTAGTCCTACGTCCAGCCTACAGAAGTAGCCTATGATGGGTGTTCGAGGGGAAGGCAAAAGACAAAAGAAAAACTAATGCATGAAGCACAGTCTATAATGAAATATTTTTGGGGGGAAACTCATATTGTCTGTCCTTGACAATCAATCTATATTAAGCACGTAGGTTATGCTTTTAATCCTTGCTATTAAAACATCATATGCTACCTGGTTCACACTATGCCACTAAAATATACATATATATGTGTGGACTGGCAAATGTACAAACTATCTTGGGAACTCTCTAAATTCAAATATACACTTAATGATCAAAAGCTATCTCTAGTTACTCTGGAAATTCACCAATAATCTATAAAACTAACCTTGGGTTACTGTGATCAGTTGTAATCAACTATAACTTCTTTAGCTTATTAATCATGTGTTCATTAATTCAAACTTCTTTCTTTTTGTCAGAGAAGCTATCAGTTTTCTGTGACACCACATATGTTTTATCTATAATATCTCTAGGCACTAATTGCTTTTGACATGCATGCTTTGTTTTCACTGAGTATAAACAGAATTTTATACTGTTTATAGTAGTGCTTAGCTGAGTTAATTAATTTTCCAGTATCAACACATATCCTCTTATTGACACAAAATTATTTCTAGGCATTCATTTCAGTTCAAGGTAGAATCATAGGACTGGAACGGACCTTAAGAGGTCATCTAGTCCAGTCCCCTGCACTTGTGGCAAGACCAAGCATTATCTAGACCAGTGGTTCCCAACCTGCGGCCCACGTGCCACTTGCAGCCCAATCAACACAGAGCTGCGGCCCATGTGACATCCTCAGGGCCATACAGGTAGTATTGGATATGGCCCACAATAGTAAATAGGCTGAGAACCACTGATTTAGACCATTCCTGGCAGGTGTTTGTCTAACCTGCTCCTAAAAAACTCCAATGATGAAGATTCCACAATCTCCCTAGGCAATTTATTCCAGTACTTAACCACCCTGATAGTTAGGAAGTTCCCTGATTTGTCCTTATTTCCCCGTTTATAGATTGGCACTATATTTGCCCTTTTCTAGTCCTCTGGAATCTCTCCCATCTTCCATGACTTTTCAAAGACAATCACTAATTGTTCAGATATCTCCTCAGTCATCAGGCCCTGGTGACTCAAAGACATCTAACTTGTCTAAGTAATTTTTAACTTGTTCTTTCCCTATTTTAGTCTCATATCCTATGCAGGAGTGGCGGAAGTACCCTAAAAGGATGGGAGGGCACAGGCGCCCGAACCGAGGCCCCACACCACCCCTTTTCTCCAAGCCCCCGCCCTGATGCCACCCCTTCTCCCTGATCCACCGCCCTCAAACTGCCTATTCCCCCAAAGACCCCGCTCCCACATTGCCACCTCTTCCCCAGCTCCCATTGCTCGTATTCCCCCCTAGACACCATTCCCTGCTCGTTCTTTTCTGCCTCCTGTCACTCGCCCTTATGACTGGTAAAAAATGGTGGGGGGGGGGGGCATGGCCACCTGGCCCCTCCTGTTCCGGCACCCCTGATCCTACCTCATTTTCATGGGTAGAGATCCAATCAGTACTAACCTTTTCGGTGAAAACTGAAACAAAAAGGTCAGTTAGCACTTCTGCCATTTCCACATTTTAGATAAAACCATTCTATTGCTTTTATCCAGCTTTAGAGTTCAACACCTTCCCTCCCCCACTCCTCCTCCTTACAACTCCTTCCTTGGCCACAAAATAGTTAAAATCAACTTGTGTAAAAAGCATCATGACCAAGGGGGATTTCCCTTTTGTTTTTAGCCCGGGACAGATCCATTACCAAAGGATGAAAATGGAAAAATCATTTTTGATATTGTAGATCTGCGTCAAACTTGGGAGGTGAGTGACATGAATAACACAGTGTTAATTAAGAGCCCATTCAGTTTCCTTAGGCAGCCAGCTGACTGTTACCCAGAAAGCGCTCAGATTTCCGGGATTTTTCAGTCATAGGACCTTTTAAGAGGGCAAAGGAGAATGTATAGAAAAGTATAGAAAAGCCAGTCCCTCTACTTCCTCAGGGGGCCCAGGAGGCCAGTGTGCTCACGCAGTTTTCCCAGGAAACAACCCCTGTCTTCTGGGGAGCTCTAGCTCTGCTCACACCAGATTCCTACCCAGACTGAGCCAGTATCCTCCCTTTTAAGGTCCTACCCTACTCCAGGCTTGACAAGTCTCATGCGTGTGGTGGGTTGTGCCCAGAGGAGCTCTTTAACCCTTTCTTGACTGCTGTAGGAGCTGCCCCATCATACTAGGGAAGGTTAACTCCATCAGTGTCAGACTGATAGAATTAAACCAGTACAATAACTGTGCATAGCCCAGACCCTCAATGAGTATTCAGGGTAGCTAGTTAAGTGAAATGTATTTTTACATGTGAACTGAGCAGATTTAAGGGGGAAATCACTGAGAGACAATAAACATGAAATCTCACATGCTTTTTTTTAACAGAATCACTTTGTAGAGCAGAACCGCACTTTGAGATGCTTTGGCCTTCCCTGTTCTTAGGACAGGGATATTGCCAAAGGCATTGTCAGGGACAGAATTGTAGTCTGGGCTTTACAGGTGATGTTTTCCACAGAGGAGGGATGAAATATTCTGCCCTAGAGTCAGCCAAGATGAGGACTCCATCAGATCCCTAATTCTTTAGCTAATGCTCTTTAAGTGGCTCGGCACTGCAGCTTATTAGCCAGCCAGCACTGAAGAGTTAGGTTCAAAATCTGTCCACACTTATCCACATTACAAAACCCATGAGTCAGTTTAATACCATTGGCGCTTCTATATCAAGAGAAGCCAGAAATGAAATACAAAGGGGCATCAGGTTAGAATTGAGGTGCATTGACAGAGCTTTGGGGAAGTTAGCATAATGTCTGCTCACCTTATCCCAGGTTCTAATTAGTGCTATTGGTTCCTCAGTTTCATGAGCATTAACTAAACTCCCTCATTTAAAAGGAAAAAGCTAAAACTTCCCCTGTGATATGTGCCTTCCCTTCAGTGGACTCTAGCAAGCTTTTTCTATTAAATGTAAAAAGTAAACAGGATTTGGCTACAGTATCATTGTTATCGTAGCACTGCTTGTGATCTGAGACTCTGCAGTCATTTCCTATTATCAGAGCAGGGAAACACTGGTGCATCTCAGACACCACAGCATGACTACTGTCAGTAAATAGAGACATTCTAACGGTGACCACTGCACCCCCCATCTCCTTCAATGTTTCTTGTGTTTTCCCTTTAATTTTCATACTCAATTATTTTTTTGCTATAAAACTCTTAAACTAGTGTTCGTAGTACCATACTTATGTGGTATCCTTATTTCTGTATTGTTCACTAGCAATGATTGGGTATCGCTATGTCTTTGAGGTTCTGTATATGTAAGGGACAAATTAGAGAGAAAGCAACTGGGAGAGACAGTGGCCAGATTGTCTACCTTCTACTGTGGGAAAAGATTACTTTATTTCAGTGGATTGGACGGAGATCTGATGCCTAAGAGAACGGTTAGAAAATGACTGTCTCTAAATCAGAGTTTTGTTCTAGAACAAA